CGATCGGGGCGCAGGACGCGCGATCGGGGCGCAGGACGCGCGATCGGGGGCGCGCGATAGGGGAGTGGGGCGCGCGGTGGGGGCGCAGGACGTGCGATCGGGGAGTGGGGCGCGCTCGACGGGAGGAAGCTGAGGTCCCGGGGCGGGGGTCCTCAAGAAGCGGGCAGGAGAAGCAGGAAGCGGCGGGTCTGCGGGGCGCAATGGCCCCGCGTTGGAGAGCGAGAGGGGAGGACAGGGGCCATGGGAGTAGGAGGCACACTGCTGGGAATGAGGAAGGGCCAGGTTTGGAAGAAGAGAGGGGAGAGGCACGAGTCGGAAGATCCCGGGGAGTCTGCACGGGCAGGGGTCCCAGGGGCAGAGGGGACGGGGTTCCCGGAGGCGAGAGCTCGGGACCCGGGTCAAGCCAGCGGACGGTGCGGAGGAGGCCCGAGTCGGGGTCCCGGGGCGAGGCTCGGGGAGCCTGGGGCGCGCGGGCAGGGGTCCCCGCGGGAAACTTACAGCGGATGGTATGGAAGGACGCCCGCGGCCGCTTCTCGAAGCTCTCCCCGAGCCGCAGGACGTGCTCCTCGCGGTCCAGCAGCGGGTTGGCCGTCCCGTTCATGGCCCCGCGTGGGGCCCTCGCGCCCCCGGTGGCCCCGCCGCCGCCGCGCTGCCCCGCGTCCGTACGGCCGAGCCGCCGCTCGCCCCGCTCCGGAACCAAGTGCGTCCCACCGCGTCGGGGCCGGGGAGGACTCTGAGGAAGTGAGGGCGGGCGGCTTCCGGCGTCTAGGCGGGACTTCCGGGGTCGCGCCGGAAATGGCGGGGGCGGGGCCATGGCTGCCGGTCTCGGAGCGGGGGAGGCGGCGTGGGGGCCTCGCGAGGCCGTGGAGTCCGAGTCCGTGCTGCCCGGCTCCCGAGTTCAGCCTTCCCGGCCGGGCCGAGGGGTGAGTGCGCAGGCCCTGCCCTGCCGGGGTCGCCGGGCGCGGACAGTCAGCATGGCCCCCGGGCGGGGTCGCGGGAGGGACGCCCGGCCCCGCGTCACCGGCCTCTTTGTGCGGTCCGCGCCGTCGCCTCGCGCGTCGGCCAGTGGTGGACGCGGCCGGGTACCCCGGGCACCGAGGAGTCGTCGTCCAGCGACTCTGGGCAGCCGTGGCCTCTCTGGGGACTGGCCAGTGGCCGTTGGCGTGCAGTTCGTGCCGCGGATGCTGCTGTGATTGTTTTTGAATCACGCCCCGCACGGACACAGCGTGAGTGAGCGTTAGCGTCCGGAGGGTCCCCTGTCATCTTGGGCGGCGTGCCTTCCCCTAAGCCACGGTGACTCACCGCGTTGTAGGTTAATGGGGGGCTGACCCAGCGCCTGCAGCTCACTGTGGGCCTGTTACCAAGGGGGGCCGGTCCCTGCAGAAAGACAGCGTGCTGGGGGAGGGGGAGGCCAGGAGGAGGGGAGGACCCTCCCCCAGGACGAGCACTCTCTGATAGGATGGTGCAGGACAGAGCAGGGGCCAGAGCTGGTGGAAGGACAGGAGGACCCTCCCCCAGGACCAGC